AATATGACAATTCTGTCTGAGTCACTGTTTATGTAATTTTTGTAGTTAATCACTCTATCAACTGATCACCTATGATTATTGATGGTAAAATAAAAATGTTTTTGATCGAGGTTTGCCTCTACAACACTCATAATGTCTCCTTCTTCCTCTGTGATCCAAAACAGTTCTATTAAATAATGATTCACATTTCCACCATTAATTTAGGCTATTTTCCTTCCACGATTCTATCTCATTTTTGCATTATTAATTGAATTTTGACGACACCGAAAGCGTGATTGGATTGGTTGAAACAGAAAAACACCCACTGATGTTGTAATTTATTATAGTTTCATTAAGGTATAAACAACTTTTAAAAGTAAATGACTTATATTGTTGTCAACTTTATGCTGTAGATTTTGACCATGTATTTTCTTCCTGGATAATTTGATGAATAATAGTTATCACTGTATGACAGTCATATAACGTTCTTGTTCGAGAACTTAGTTCTAAAGGATCCTGTAATACGATTGGTTTGAAATATTACGTATGTTGGATATGTTATGACATTAATCTTTATATTTAAAGTTGATAAAATTAAAAGCCTCAATTTTTGTACGATAGGTTTATCAATCATTTACATTTTCTTAATTTTAGTTAAATATTACATTTATATGATATTGATAACAGGTTGTAATTTTTCTAATACCGTACGTTTATTTCCATCCAACACTAGAAACTAAGTAGTAATTTTTAGTAGGTGTTTAATCAATTTTAGATGGAGTAGGTAAATCAAATTTTAGGAAAATAACTTATCCTTGTTTCCTTATTCGTTCATTTTCCAGTTTGAAATACGCTATATAATGCTAAGATCAATCTTTACTACTGCTTATGAAAGATATCTAATAAAAACTTATGTCTTTATGTACTATAATTTACTGAAAAAATAAAACAAATATATATATATATAAAAACAGTATTCGTAAGAGGATTTAACAATTTATCTTACTAAGCTACTAATAGATGGCGCAATAAGCTTGAATAAAATATACCTCTATGTGTGCAACTGTGCATATCATCACGTCATGTGTGTGTGTTTGCTATTAAGCACAAAGCTACACAATGGACTATCAGTGATGTGCCCACACAATTATGGAAGTTCGGTTTTTAGCATTATAAGCCTTCAAACTAACCACTGTAGAAACCCGTAGCCTGTAACGGTGCTGTTTATCTTTGATTGCCCTTCATGAATAGAGAGATCTACCTTTCGAAAATGCTTGGGTTAACTCTTTCAGCACGAGCTCGGTTCGTCGGATCGACCTCGTAACCATTGTGTGTTTGTTATAGTTTTCATGCTATAACTTTTAAATTAGTAAGCGTATGTTCAGGAAATTTGGCACATTATCAGTTAATTTTACAAGGATTTCATACGCAAGATACTAATTCTTAAAGTTTGTTAAGCAAAATTTCTCATACCTTTTTTTCTTTTCACCTGTTACCTATCCAACATACAAAGTAATCTTCATTTCAAGATTACAAAAATTTTCCTGCATCAGAAAATTTTAAAATTTCACATGCAAAATCTTTATAATGTCCAGTTACTTATCAAACATTTCTTAAGGAAAAACTATATTTTTTCTGTTCTTTTCACTAATGGGTTCCATAGATTTGACCGATCTCGTAACCAACATAAAATATCAGGAAATAAATATAAATTATGCTTCTTTCGTTCTAGAATGACTACAGATAATAACCCAAAAACATAAATGTTTATACTAAATAGCTTAAATCTCATAACATTATACATTTATATATATATTTATTATTTTTATTATACTGACCTTTCAACCATGCCTGGCTAACATTACAGAAGTTGTAATGATACAGCAATATAAAATTGACCTTTAGTCTTTACAAAGTGACCCTGTCTTGGCTGTGTTTTAGTTTTATACATTTTTATATGTATATAGATTATTATTATTTGTTATTAAACAAATAATTATCTATTCTAGTTACGACCTTTGTACTCAATTAATGCTTGACGTAGGTAGCTAAGTCTTTTAAAATTTCGCACGTGAAACGAAATAATATTTTTAGGTTTTATTTATACAGTTGAATAACCAAAAAATCATAAATTACTATACTGATATCATAGAATACCACTTTTTGGTACATCTACCAAATTACGCACCTGCGCGCGCATGTACCAATATAAGTCCCTCAGAACACATATAAGCACCTGCTCTTGCTTTTACACAAATACTCACCTGTGTGTGCATGTCATCGCGTTTGTTTACTCGCATTCGAAATTTTATTGAACAAATATTTCATGAATTTATGTCAGTAAGTTTGATAACAAACTGTATATTATAATTCAAATTTTAGCACTATATATTACTCAATTTCTTAATTTAAAAGCAACTATGAAAAAAAAAACTGTTAAACATTGATTTTTGTGTGTTACATGGTATGTTAAATGCAGCACAGCCTCAAATTAGATGTTTATGATGTTAAAATACTAAGTCTATAGTTTCGTACGAATTAGGAACTCAAATTACTAATATTGACAAGCTGATATAAAATAAGAACTTTGTATATTTTCTTTTACTGAGATATCGCTTAGGTACTGAATCAAACACAGCAGCCCAGCTCACTTGTTTTTTATTTTTGGAAACGGTCCCTTATATACACTTTTATCAATATATATGGGAAGCCCTCTCATTCTTTTGAAACCAAGCAGGTAGGTTGTTTATTCAGTCTGCTCCATATTTCATATTTTTTAGAGCGAAATACAGAGGGCTATCTGCACTAGCCATTCCTTTATTAACATTGTAATAATAGAGCTAATGAAGCTTGTCATCACCACCCACTATTGGGATACTCTTTTACCCATGAATAGCGGGATTGACCATCACATTATAACGCCACCACGGCTGAAAGGGCGAGCATGTTTAGTGGGACGGGGATTCGAACCCGCGACCCTCAGATTGGGAGTCGAGCATCCTAACCACCTGGCCGAAATACATCTTAGTTACTAAGCTTCATAAATTATAGTGGAATTCTATGGTATCGATGTAGTAATTTATCATTCTTTGGTTATTCAACTGTATACATAAAACCTCAGAAAAAATATTTTATTTCACATCCTCTACTTAGAAACCTACGTCAAGCAGAAACTGAGTATAAAGGTCGAAACTAGAAGAGATAATTGTTTGCTTCTGTGTTTTAAGATATTAATAATCTATATACATAATTAATGTATAATAATTGAAATGTTACTATATTTTACTAAATACTAGTCTACTAAAACACAGCAAAGACAGGGTCACTTTGTAAAGACTAAAGGTCAACTATATATTATTGGATACAGTTTATTTCCTAATTCTTTATGTTGGTTACGAGATCGGTCAAATCTATCACACCCGTAGAGATTCGTTAGTGAAAATAACAGATCAAATATAAAGTTTTTCTTTATGAAACGTTTGATAACTATCTGGACGTTACATAGATTTCGCATGTGAAAGTTGAAAATTTTCAGATGAATAAAAATATTTTTAATCTTAAAATGAAAATTAGTTTGCATGTTGGATAGGTAACATGTGAAAATAGAAAAAAAAGTATGAGAAAACATTGCTTAAGAATTAATAAAAAAATTGATATTTTGCATATGAAAGCATTGTAATGTTAACTGATAATCTGTCAAATTTCGTTAACATACGCTTACTAATTTAAAAATTATAGCATGAAAACTATAACGAGCACAAAATGGTTACGAGGTTGTTCCGACGAACCGAGCTCGTGCTGAAAGGGTTATAGAGTTTTGTTTTTATCTTTGTGTGGTGACACACGGCGTTATTTTCCTTCCAAAAACAATATACCCTTTTATTTGTGAAGGCAAATAATTCTTTATCTTTTTTCAATAATATGAAATTAATTGGACTTTTATTCTGAAAAGCGAGAAAATATTTATTTTTACAGTAGTACTTAGATGCATAATTATCATCATGCGTGTACACAAATGGATTTTACATATGAATGAAAATTATTTTATGCTAAAAATTTATTACATGAATCTTACAATCTAATGTAATGTATACTGATCCCCTTTTTTTTTGTATATTTGTTTGTTGTTGTTGTAATGCGCAAACATTGTGATTCATTGTATATGATTTCAGGAAATGTAACTTTTGCTGACAGTTATATTATCTATATTACTCACCGGTGGGTCGTATGGGTAGTAATTATATTCCAACTTTCTGTGGCCGCTCTCTTTATTTTAGTGTTCCCCCCGTTACGAGAGATACATTTGGTATACACGAACAACTACAGAAAAAAAAGAGCACAGTACCTAGCTTGTTAATATTCCAAATATTATTACTCACTGACATATCGGTTCCTTTTTATTTAGAGAAATTATTGGAGGTGTACTTTTTGTATACATCGAAGTTAACAGGTTTTAGTCTATTTGTACCTTGTATTTATGGTAAAGGTACTATGGCTATCTACTGCTGTCCCTAATTTTGAACTACTGGCTATAGGAAAGGCAGCCAGTAAGTAGCACCCTAAAACCGACGCTGAGGGATTTACTGTCACTTTTATAACGCACCCACAGCTAAAAATGCGTGAAATATTTTGTGATACCGCATCGATTCGAATCCGGCTCGTCAGCTCAGAAATCCCAAGCTCGGTTGTAATCTCACTTAAAATAAATTAATTATTAGAGAAACAAGATTGTAATTATAAGAGTAAAAGAAACTTCTATATCTAATATAGAATATTAGGACAAACTAGGAAAACTTTAAAATGACCAATGGAATCTACCTAGGATTAAATAAAGTATATAAGTTGTTTGGTAATAATAAAAAATTAATATTTATTCATGTTCTAGATATTTATAAAGTGTTCAGTAGTTACATGACGCAAAGTGATGTTGTACTCGTTTTTTGTAAAAGGGGTGATTTAATTTGGCAGTTTTCGCTGTGGATTTTGACACATTTAATAAGAAATTATCGATGAGCCATCACTGGTCCTAATATAAATGCAACTTTATTTTAGGTTACTGACGTGTAGTGATACAGCTTATTGGTCAACATACAGCAAGCAGCATGACAAAGCCAAGCATACAACAAAAAATGTCGTCTTCTTTGGAGCCACTATGGTTGCTCAGGAAAAGTTCGGGGTTGGTAACACCAAGAAGTTGGTGTTTGGTCCTACGGAGAAGCAGTAACAGCGATGGTGATGCGGGAACTTGACAAACCAATTCTTGGATTAAAACACCAACTACTTCTTTGACACTCGTAATTGGACACATTCAATTTTTAAGCAATGATCAATTGTTCATCAACTGTGTAATTTTCTTGAGCATTTGTCTTTTTTATAAGTTTGTTAAAAATATGAGTTTTTCATACCAACACTTCTTGTTTATTTATTGAAATCTTTCCATTTCAAGTCATTTCCATGCAGAGACAATACTTCATCTAGAAGAATGTCCGACAAGTTTCTTGGTGGTTACTTAATCATTCTTATATAACATCATTCTCGAAGTATATTTAAACAAATAAGTAATGAACTTATCATTCATCATAACCATAAAAGTCACAATCATTATTAGTCTAACAATGAGAAAAAATGTAGAATTGAAGTACCATTCAAATACTTTTATTGGTTATACTTCATTGATATTAAGCATTTTCAAAATAAACACAACGGTAAGTCAACGAATATATTAAACTTGTCCACCTTCTTTTATAACATAAAATTATTCACATTTCTATTCAACGTACACCCGTTTCACCAGGTGTTTTTCTTACCTTACGAATCTGAATCCAAATGGAATATGATTCTGAAATTCAAAGCCTCACAGTGCAACTGACACTTTAAAGATACTGAAGTTGAATGAGGACTCTTGTCAACGTTCATGTTACAATCATATAGTTGATTTACTTTTTGTTTTTACCTCTACACTGCTAAGACGTGTTTATATTTATTTTAAACATGTGGTAATACTTTCTTCTAACTTCAGACATATTTTCTGGTAGAGATTATGTAATATAAACTTAATGGTTCTCTCGACTTTTCAAATCTTGGAGTAAACTCTAGGAAAAGGGATAGATTTATCAAACTTATACACGTTTTTACACTTTTTCATATCATTTAAAAATAAGAATAATGCAAAAATATAACATGAAAACGAATTTGTTCAAAATTTCATACCCCCTGATTAATATTTCCTAGAATTATACTGAAATAAAAATGTGTACCTTTTAAATTATAACTCAGCTTTTTGAGGAAAAAAAATTCTTAAAAGATATTTATGAAGCAAAAAGTATTTTTGACTGTACTATAATATAATTACAAGGCTATGCCTAATTCCACAAGAAACATTTAAAATAATCCCTTTTCCATGTTATAACACAAGATATTCCAATTGCAAACATAAATCTGTTTAAACTAGAATATTTACTACCATTCCATATTCATACTACTGAATTATCACAGTTGAAAAACCACGTATAACTGTAATCAATACAACGTGTTTCAGAAAATCATAAGGACGCGTTATTAATAATAACCGCTGCATTTTAGTTTTCTGAAAAAGAAAAATTAGGAGTGTATTAATATTAAAAAAGTAATTATAGTAAGATAATTTTTTTTATAATTTAACATGACTGTGACAGTAAAAACTGTATACTTTGATCGAGCAGTAACAATGGTATTTGATATTTCTGAGTTTTGTATTATTTATTTGCAATTCACGTTGCAATATTGTCGTTACTGAATATCTGCACTTCTGTTATCCAGTAATTTCAAACGATATCCAAAGTAGTAAAACAACAACTAGATGAACGAATGACAAGTCTTCAAGGCCCCTTCTATTATTATTTTTTTTCTATGGATATTTGTTCATGATGAAAGAACAAACGAAGATTAACAATTTGCTGTTAATTTGGAGAAAATGTATAATCATTCTGAAATAATTCGAAGATATCAGTAATCAAGTTCGTTAATATTTATACTTGGCTAATAAAGAATGGATTGCTTTACTATAAGTATGTGTTATGAGGTGAGTTATTGTAAATCTTAAAAGTGAGTGTCATTAAAACATAAAAATATACAATAACGATTAAAAATAGTCATATCGTTTGATAGAAACATACCTGATTTAATGTTAAAATCCACTGAATTTTTTTATATATTTGTAAACGAAACAAACATACATAAAAGAAATAGAAAGGAACCTTACATAAAAAAAATAACACTTTCATTGGAACAACTTGTGTTATAGTCACTCCTGTACATTTTCTATTTTCAAACCCCACACACCTAGATATATAAACAGTTAAAATTTTTCCCTAAATACAACATTCAGTGTTGAGGCAAATGAGAGAAGTTTTGAACGTTACAGTTTTCTTTCAGGGAGTTGCCTCAGTGACTAACATGCTCTACATACTTACATCTGAATACAATGAAAACAAATAATATTTTGTTTTCAGATAAGAAAAGAAAAATGTATAGAATATAAATATTTACTGACTTAAAGAAATAATCAATACAAAGTAATTGTAACTAGTTTTTTTTTACTAAGAACAAAAATTGTTTTAAAAGGAGAATATATCTTGAAAACGTTTTAAAACTTTAATACATTTGACAAAAATTCCAGTTAATTTATAAAAAATATGTAAACCAACTATTAGTAACAACATTGAAAATCTTTTCCGTAACCTTTGATCAGTTACCAAAACATACTTCGAAACTTTTGAATTTCAGAACATTATTCAGTTATAACTCGTACCAAAACAATTATTCTTCAACTATTTTCCTTGAACGAGTGAAAAACGTTCCACAGAATAGATTCCGTGATATATGTAGTACAGAATATTTTTAAATACTTACTGCTTAACTTATTCGTATATCGATTCTACCGACTATTTTAATATTGATTATTACTTAATGGGATGTATGCCATTACTGGGTAATGGATTGAAGATATGTATTAGAACACACATGGGTTATGCTATTTAGTTCAAATCCTTATAGACAACAGTCAACATTTAGATTTCAGCAGGGATTTTGCATGGCAGAAGCTTTAGCTTTTCGTTTATAGTCTCAGTTGCTCTTACAGGTTATGTTTGTTTGCTTTAGAGCAAAGCCACATGGGGCTATCTGCTGTGTCTACCGCAGGGAATTGAACTCTGCTTTGTAAGTCCGTGAACTTACCGCTGATCCACCGGGGGACGTACAGTTTATGATATTTAATTTAATTTCGACACTTCAGTAACCAACATATGTATAAATTAATTTCGTCATTATCTATTCCCATATAAAATACTTCTTTATAAACAGTACAATGTTGTACATAAACATGTACAAAAATCCAAATAAAAGTTCTGGCGATTCGTGAACTAACGTTCGTGAATCTGAAATAGTGATTTCAAAAATTTTAAGGTGAGATTTTTTTTCTTGAAGAAAAACTGGACGTTGCTACTTGGGTCACTTTTTGGTTTAAACAATGAAAAACCATTAAATCAGCAATACTATTAACACTTTGAATATCATGCACGACAAATACACACACACACACACACAAACTTTCTAAATGTTGGATTTTCTGACTACAAAGTTACTAATATTATTTTAAAAACACACGAAATAATGTCATTAAAATGACAACTAGTCATTAAGATTATTTTGTAACATACATATATATATCGAGTGAAGATTGAGTAACTCTTTCGACTTTAAAGAGTTTCTCAAGTTCACTTTCTCACTAAAAAGTTGGCAATTCACAGTTAAAGAGTAATAATTTCTACATGGGATTATGATATGCTTAGACTTAAACAAAACGTAAACAAACACAGTTATTCTCAATTCATTAGAGTTTGGTTTGCTTCGGATATTTGCGCAAAGCTACACAAGGGCTATCTTAGCTAGCCGTCCCTAAGTTTCAATTGACAGACTAGGTGGAAGGCAGCTAGTCAACAGAATCCACCGCCACTTCTTGGACTACTCTAATCAAATAGTAGGATTTGTCCATTACTCTTATCACCCCCCTTGACCCAAAGTGTAGAGCGCGATTTTTTTTTTTGCCGTAATGGGTGACGAACCGTGGACCCTCGGATCCATAGCCCGGTACGCTAACCATTAAGTCATGACCAGCCTAGTTTGCTAGAGCCCAGGAATATTAGATGTGACCATTTTACTGTGTTTATTGACAAGACAAAATTCAATATCGATTATAAACATTTAAGTTAGTAGAACAGAAACATGAGGAACATTTTCAATCACAGATTGTATTTGAAAATCATTATTATCTAAAACGTAAGTTCCACTTCACACAGTGGCTAGTTTACATTACTTGAAATACACTAAGTGTAAACAGACTATTAAAGTCGTCAGGTTTTGCAAAACTAACATAGATCTCAACAAGACTTATTCACGTCAGAAGGACGAGGACATTGACAAAAACAACTTTACTACTTTAAAACCAACCCTTAATTATACTTCCACAAACAGAAAACAGCAACTAACGTGACCATTGTATATATATATATATATATTTAGATAGATCAAGAGTCTGACAAATCGTGTGAATCCACACGGATCGGGAACCAGATCGGATGATCCAAACAGATCTGGTTCGGCTTATCACACTTCTTTAGAGAGATGATGATTTGATCATCTTTGGAGATAAAGTAGCACCACCCTAGAGTACGAAAACAAAAAACCTTTCTTTACATGCATAAAAACACGTAACTCGGTCCTTACGCTATGTGCCACCAGTGTTTCAGACAGGAGCAGTATCGTATAACAACTCCGCGATCTCTTGCGTCTGCCGACATCTGTTACATTATCATGATTTTTTTTTTTATGATCCTTGATAAATTGAAAGGTTTAGTAAATGGAAGTTATGCTTGCAACGTTTTATTACTAACACTAGTTTATAATAATTTTAAAATAGTCTACATAACGAAGACTTTATCGACAGTGCACCCAATTTCTTATCACTTTTTGTTTCATAGCTATAAAATACCTGGTGCATGATAGCTACATTACTAAAAGTATAAAAAGATGGTCTGCTGTCGTCGGTTGCGTTTTCATTATCTAAGGCCCAAGCTAAATCAGTCTAGTTCAGATGTTTATTAGTTTAATGCATATTTTATAATCATTTTTCCATGTTTAACAGATGGCTTAGCAATATGAGATGTTGAGTTACAACGACAATAATGATCTTTAAGGCCACAGCAAGCGCTTATATTGGTATCACCGTATTACAATCAGTTTGAAGCCAGCCATTCATCGGTCTTTATGGATGCAGATACTAGTGAAGTGTGTTATTGTTGCACAAAGTGGAAGTGCTCCCCCTTTAACTGAGAAACAGAAACCAAATCCTTCATCTTCTGTGAACAAAAGTTTTTGACATATTTCTCACAAGTCTGAACTGATATCTGACACATTTATCGCTTTTAATGGTCTTGTTAATTTGCGCAGCATTATAGCTATAACCAGTAACAGTTTAAAATACTTTATTAGTACACATTTTTGACACTGGGTAACAAATTCTTAGTTTCTCGCACGAACTAAAACCAACACATCGATTGAAAAAAATCACATTCAATATATATTTCGGTACAACTTATTTATTAAACACGTTAAATTCTACGTCCAACACCCAGTAATCAGCTAAACATAGGAGTTTCGAATTAAGCATATCTTACATGATCGTACTTATTAAACAATATAGATGATCATCTTAGATGTCACAGTGTAATAATTGTCTTAAAAATATCCCATCACTCTTCTTCGTGTCCAACAATCACTTGTATCAATACTCAATAACTAATATTTAAGTTTTTAGTTATATAAAAATGGATAACACATAACAGGTTTGTTCTGTTATATCAGTTAAAAAACTAACGTGTACGTCAGTAATTTCATATACATATGCATATATACCTAAAAAAAGACATTCTTTTCGACAAACAGAATAAATATATCTAATCTAAGTGTTTATTCATTTATTTGTAACTTTGTATTACAATCATAGTTTTTAAATTGATCAGATTTTGGGAGACAGTTTTTAAAAATTCAGTTATTAAAAAAAACAATTTAACTAATTCAAAAGTCGCTTAATACTATTTACGAACTGTTTTTAAATTTTAAACTAGACGCCAGAGTGCTTGCCTTTGTAAAGTATTCAAGTAATTTCAAATTATTCAATCAAAAAAGGAGCTTTGCTGCTCAGCTTGATCTCTATCTTTCAACCAGTTGTACTGAAAGTCTGTAAAAGATTAGTTTATTCTACTAGAATAATTAAAAGAAAAACAATAACATTAAAAATAGTTTAATTTTTACATTTCATGGAAAGGACTTGTTACAATAAAAAAATGGCACTAGGTAAGTTAGGAAACACAAAATTTACATTTAAATATCACAAAGAACGAAATGCTTGCTGCAAAAAAAAGATATTATGACCAACTGAAGATTATCATTTTTCACAAATTAAAAAGAAAAAGTAATTTGATAGTTACATTTTAAATTTTCCAATGTCGCCATAATACATGGCACGTGGGACATTTTTACTTTTTCTTGGCCGTCATCTTTGTGACTAGATCTCCAAACATTTCCAAAATTGTTTTTATAAGCTCTTGCACGAATTTCAGAAGGGCGACCCTATAAAAATCGCCCTCTAGAGTTGAAATTTTGAGTAATGTATTTTTTATGAAGGAATTCCTTTCCTCTAAAATGCCATTCAGTTTGATATAAAACAAATAAAATATCATAAATCGAAATACAAAAATCTATCCCTTTCAGAAAAGAGTTCGCTTTTTAGCAATATACGAGTAATTAAAAAAAAACAATCTCACAACTTATCTTACATCTCTTTGGTGGTGAAAGTTAACGTTTCATTTCCCATCAGTGTCAAAGTTTCTTGGTAACCCCCGTACCCCACTATAGGTAAAAAAGTACTAGTTATCCAATAATCTTAGCCATGAATAAAACTCTAGAATCTACAAAGCCAGAGTATTTAAACAAGGCAAGTCCACAAGAAGATTGACAGGTGGAACTCTTCCCTTTGACTGCATCGCGACACTCTGTCTCTTCCCATTCACCACTTTCACAAAATCTGTAAAAATAACGGAAACGCAAGAAAATGAAAAATTACAAATTACACTCGTTTTTTTTTTAAGTAATAAGAGTTCGTATCATTAAGTGTGTCATTTTGAAAGAAAGTTTTGGGAAATAATATTTAAATTTACAGCCTGATTTAATTGTTCTATATTATATAACAAATAATTGAATATTTAAAGAGCTCCGTGATTTCTTATTGATAAGGTTTAAAAATGTTTCGTTAAAAATTATACCGTAAAATTAAAATCGACTGTGTTATAATGTAACTCATTTAAATTAGTTGAAATAAAATCTCTTTCGCTTAAATATCAGTTGGCTCTGTGAATTTTTACGTGTGTTTAAACGTAGTTGGCCTATAATCAATTGTATTTGAAAATATCTGTTCTCAGGCTTAAATTCCATGTTTGCATTTGAACAAAATTATACACTATTGAATGTAGTTGACCTATAATAACATACACCGGGGTTATTTTGGCAATAAGTAAGTGTTCTATAATCGCTGAAAGAAAGAACAAAAGAGATTCCATAAGAATACAGGAAAAAAAAAAACGCTTCAAGAATACCATTTTACGATCCTTTACGATCAGTTGTGCTAAATGAAAGTTATTATTGTTAAGGAGTGTATATTTATTTTAAATGAGCAACTAGTTAAGTTCACTCATTGTTCATTTTTATAAAATTATATGCAACTTACATTTTGAAAGATGGACATAGCGACGCTGTGGCCGATTACACAAACCTGACTTAAAATCTCGGCATACTACCAGGGTGCACAGCAACTGTAAAAAAGAAAAGAAAGAATTTTCATGAAATAGACAGTAAATATAATAAAACCAAACATTATTGCAGGCCCCCCAGTGGGACAGCGGTAAGTTTACGGACTTACAACGCTAAAATCCAGGGTACGATTCCGCGCGGTGGGCACAGCAGATAGCGCAATGTGGGTTTGCCCTAAGAATAAGCAAGCAAAAAAAAAAACCAAATATAAACAGAGGTAATAACCATGCCTTTCCATGCCTTAATTGCATAAAACACACGTAACCCTACGCTAATAGTGCTAATTATTTTGTTAAGAGACCAACGATTTTTGAAGTCACATCAGAACTAATCGAGATATTCTATAAGCACCAAAGACAGTGACCTGGTATGCTTCAAGTCATAATCTTCACATCTTTAGTAGGAAAAAAAATCGGAGGTATTCTTCGTTATGTCAATCACCATTAAGACTTGTGGTTGAGGATTAGAAGATCTGCGGTGTTATAAATTCAATGCTTTGAATATCCGCTCAGTTAACATGAATGGGTGTCAAATATTGCCCAGTGTTAATTTTCATTTCTTTAAAAAAAATGCTAAACATAGAGGACTATATTACGAACTCACTCAAATTGCACAAAACTACAAATAATTTTAAGCTGAGAATAATCAGTAAGGTTTTGTAAAAGTCAATGAACGACAAAGGCAAGAAAAGACCAACCCAACTTGGACTTATGAGTTTCAATGTGCTCTTATTTTCGGCGTTCTAAATATGATTCTACCAGATTTTCTAAACAGTGACAATTATAATGTTCTTGAATTTTAGGGCCTGGAAGGACCTGATGGTTCGGGTGCTCGAATTCGTTACAGAACATGCTCGCCCTTTGATTCGTGAGGGACGTCATAATGTGACGGTGAATCTCATAATTCGATTAGTATAGGCCAAAAGTTTTCGGTGGCTGATGTTGACTAGCTGCCTTCCATCTAGTCAATTACTTGAAAATTCGGGATGGCTAGCCCAGGTAGGCCTTGAGTAGTTTTGGACGAAGTTTAATGAAACAAACAAATAAACTACTCGATTTTTTTTTCCATTTTAATGTGGAGCTTTAACTTTTGAGATGATAATATAATTAAATAAAATATTCTAGATGAAACTTGATGAATGAATCAAACCCAAACGATGTCCTAATTTAACATAGTAACGATATGGCGATACGCCAGACTCACAGGAGAATTTTGAACGCCAGGGTGTAATATGAACCAAAATGACAACAGCTGTGACATACTGCACATCTTTAATAATTAAATCGTCGTTTAACTAAAACTTTATTCACTTGCTGTATGGAAATTACTATATACTGCTTAAATATAGCTTTAAATGTAAAAAAAAAATCACTTTTATTCGTTCTTCTTTTATCAAAGATTTATGTTTTAACCTTGCTTTGTAAGTCAAAATTACATTTTAAATACATTTAAATAATCACGTAAGACTAAAACCTAAAATTTCCGAAAATATTTAAAAATTCACTGGAAAAAAATAACAACAGTAAAATGTGTTCCCTGTTTTCTTAAAGGTTGAATGACGATGAGGAAAATGTGATTGTTGTCAAGTTTTTAGATTTTACACTAATTAAACACTAATATGTATTAACTAATATGTCGTGGGAAATTATTATTATTTATATCATTAAATAACGGGCTGAGCGTGGCTCAGTGGTTAGCGTGCTGGACTGTAGATCCGTGGTTCGGGCCTTTTACCGCCCAGAAAATCGCGCTTCGCTTTTTTGGAACCGTGGGTATGATATAAGAGTTAACAGTCAAATTCTACTATTCGATTAGAGTAGCCCAAGAGCTGGCGGTGGGTGGTGTTGACTAGATCTTCCCTCTAATCTATCACTTTAAAATCTGGGACGACTAGCGCAGATAACTCTCGAGTAGCTTTGCACGAAATCCAACCAACAACAATAAAAGCTGATGTTAACCGTGCAACGTTTGTACAGCTCGAGATTTTGTACCGTTGTTGCAACAATTAGTAAACAAGTAATTATGAATTAGAAAAAAATATATACAATGTTTCCTCTACTAAAATTGGGCTGGTCATGACCTAATTATTAACGTACGAATACCGAGAATTCGAAGATTCATGGTTTGCGATCTGTTGCCACAAAACGCACCCCGCAGTTCGAAGCTGTGTTTGTGTTATAATAGTGATGGTCGAATCCTACTATTAGATTGGACATAAGTAACCTAAGAGTTAGCTGTTGGTCTTGTTGACTAGCTATCTTCAAACTAAGCTGAAACTTAGGAATAGCTATGTGTAGATAGTCCTTATGTGGCTTTGCGCAAAATTATTCGTTTGTTGATAAGCACAACGTTACACGATGGGCAATCTATGCTGTGCCCATCGGGAGGCTTGTGCAAAATGATGAAGCAAACAAACCAACTGAGGAAAAACTACATAAGCATTAGAGCCATTTGCAATACTGGTTTCAAAGTTTTCTTTTTAATAAATAAATGATTTGAAGTCGTTCGTTTTGGCCTGTTGAAAAGCGCGCATGCGTTCTACAGGAATTTTATCTAAAAGCGATAAATTAATGTAAAATATACCACAAACTTAATTTTACAGCTGTGGTTTTCAGAAAACGAATCAACACTGAAAAAGGCATTTAATTTAGAGATTAAAGACTACTATATTCACTGTTGTCCCCCGATGGATCAGAAGTAAACTTACAGATTTACAATGGTAAAATCCAGGATTCGATTCCCTGCGGTGGACACACACACACACACAGAGTCACTGTTTAAGATTTACCATACATCTGTATCTTTTAATTATTAATCATGTTTGGTATGAGTATAAACAACCTGTAATTATATTCGTGTTTTTTTATGAATGGAAGATATGCCATTAGTGTTGCTGTAAACGACGTTAAGAATAAACAATTCTGACACACTTTCTGAAATAGTACTCGCCAAATATTAAGTTTACTTTTATCCTATGCGAGCTCATTGGCTCTCAAAAATTACATATTACACTTTTTTTTTTTTACTGATACATAATAAAATTACATTGAACATTAAGAAAACAGTTTACTGAAAATGGTTATGATAAGATCGTGTAAGGAAATGGGATTTTTGATATAATTTGTACGTCACTACTGGGCTTTTGACAACCATATTTTTCTGTGTTTTTTTTTTTCCGGTAAGTTCTTTTATTTCGGAAATTTTAGGTTAGATTGTAAAAACGTCTCAATAATTACATGCTCGTGCACATTAGAATGCATTTAAAATGCTTTGGTTAATAATTGCACAGGATGTCCTACAATTATGCAATCAAAAATTCCTTGCTTGTTCAATTTCCACAACGGTGGGCACGTGAAATGCGGACATTGTGTGGTGTATAATGCTTCGCTCGTGAAAAAATATATGTTTCTTATATTTGTTAAGATAATTTTTGGACACCCTGTATAACTTGAGGTAAAATAATTTCAACGGGAGAATATATCTAAAAGATCTGTGGATGCCATCTTCAACAAATTTCTGGAAAGAAAGAGAACACAAATATTCTATTATTCTATTGATGGTGTAATTAAATTTTATTAGCTCAAGACATCTGGCCCAAATTCATACACAAAATATTAAAATTTAATAAACAAAGCGTGGGAACTTACAAGAAACAGGCACAAAGGGCTGTTGAACCTGCATGGTAAGGGCTTGATGATAAGGTGTGGCGCTTGGTTGATAAACAGGGAGTCCACTCTTGTCAAGGGCTGGTCTTTTAGTGTAAGGGACCATTCCGGGAAATGCCTGTGGAACAGGTTAAAGTGTCAATTAAAAAAAAAACATATTTGCACACTATTAAAAATTTAGTGTAAGAGGCCATTTAGGGAAAAGCCTGTGAAACAGATTAATTTAACGTTTCAATAAAAAATGTTTGCAAACTATTATAAAAAAACTTTCACACGTTTTGCGAAGAATGATAGAATTTATATCGAACATGTTTCGTTTCGAAGGCGGTAATAGCTTCTTTACGAAACGATATTAGTTTCATATTAATGACATACGTATACTGGAAATTAGTTCTAGGGATATACAAGTTCTTCCTTTTTTTTCAATAAGAACAACAACAAAAACAGCGTTGATAAAAAATATCGTGACGTAGCTCATCTTCTTGTGTTGATTAGAAAATAAAAAGTAAAAAAAGAGTAAAACCTATTTGTTATTAAGGAATATTGTAATATGACCAAGGAGGGAATACAAAGTTTCATTGAACGTGGAATCATATTTCTATTTACAATCTGTAAGGGATTTATTCGAAACTTTTTTTGTACATACACTCCTGAATAGGTATAGAAAGGATAATTGTTAAACGTTTTAGCTACATTTTATTAGAACATGCAAAGAAATGTTACACGTGAAATATTGTGGTGAAATCGTTCGTTTTTCTTTGTATTTTAACTCTTTGTAATGAGAGACTTGCGGGTCAAAATTTCACGAAGGTAATAAAAGCATGAAGGCTCAAGAGATTGCCAAGCAAGCTTTGGGCAAACTGGCCAGTGCAATCTTGTGTTTTAAGATACTAGATTTCTTGAAAACACGTTTTAGCATCTCTCTCTCTTTTAGTTATCAATAACTGATTTTGTATGCAAAATGCTTAAAACATAATCAAAACATTTTAGCAACGTGAAATATTAATAATATATTAATAATAAAATATAATAATAATAAAATATTACGTGAAACATACTAATACACTTTATATTCGTTTATTTTTATTCAATTTCAAAACTAGCATTTTTTAATCACAACTACTGTGTATATAAAGTAAATACATATGGAGATCGGCCCGGCATGGCCAGGTGGCTAAGGCGCTCGACTCGCAATCTGCGGGTCGCGGGTTCGAAGTCCCGTCACACCAAACATACTCGCCCTTTCAGCCGTGGGGGCGTTATAACGTGACGATCAATCACACTATTCGTTGGTAAAAGAGTAGCCCAAGAGTTGGCGGTTGGTGGTGATGACTAGTCGCCTTCTCTCTGATCTTACACTGTTAAAGTAGGGATGGCTAGCGCAGATAGCCCTCGTGTAGATTTGCACGAAATTCATAACAAACAAACAGACATATGGAGATCAAATAACAAGGAAAAGCTATTTTTATATGCAACAAATATTGACTAGACCTGAGGTGCTTGTGCATGCGATCTCAAAACACAGACAAATAAAGAGTCGAATAGGTGGAATAACAGCTAGTCTTAACGTGTTATGGTAGACAACTCTGTTGCATAGACCACAAGATAAATTTGTAATCAGTATTTTAAGAAGGAAATTTTTCTTATGTCTCCCTATTAAAAACGCTTTTGAAGAGGAGTATACTTATATAAAAGAGATCACAGCGAGTTGAACACATTGATAGGAGATTGGGGAACAATATTTCATCACAACACTAAGACCCAAGATGACATCAAATACCATTAATAAAGCTCACCAACGTGAGGTAATAAGAAATCCTAACTTAATGGGCTTTTACAATAAATATCAGGTGAAACTAGCAACTGCAAAAGTAATCATTGTCTGAACTTCGTTGCTAGATAAGATAAGCACACAGATGGTGTGCAAAACTCCCCTCATATTAAGAACAAGTACAGGAAAGTTTACTTAAATGATCTGGCTGCTGCTGTACAAAATTTTTACCGTTATAATAAATCACAATCAATATTTACCTCCTTCATTCAATAACAATATTTTTTTTTACAAAGTCTTATATAACAGATACGTAAATGAGGTAAAATTTCAAGTTCTAAATGAGGGTAGCAAATGTCAATTCGAAATTCTTTCAGGGAAGCATGCTGAAAGAAATCGTCTTGTAACTGATTTCTAAATTGCATAGAAATGCATCCCTTCGAGTAAAAAGTGGGTTGAATATTTTAAATCTGCAAGTCACGTGACAAACACTCACTATATTATGTTGCGGAAGAAGCGGTGTAGATCAAAGCTACATTCTTACATTACTGGGCGTTGCGTTGGTAGTGCGATGCTGCCAAAAACTGATCACTTTTTTAACAAGCCTTTTCCGACGCAAGATATGCACACACTCAGAGCATAAAGATGTGTTTAAGTCGGAGATTTCGAATTAAGAAGACGAGAATATCCTTCGTATATAATAACTTTGGGGTACCAGGGCCCTCCAGAAAGAACTTACAACAAGTCGTCTTCCGTTGGGGTAAACAAAGTGCGGCGTCTTGTAACAGTTGAGAATTTACGAACATAAAGTTCAGTAGCAAAAGCCGTTCACGTGACTCAAGCAACAGGACGAAACATAATCGAGAAAGATCTTCATCTGAAGAAGTGGCATAAGTCATGTATACAGAAATTTCCTTCATAACATATTCATTCAACCATCGCATACCACAAGCAGCTGGAGTACAAAATGGTACTTGTAATAGCTCATGCAAAGACATATCGGTCCTGTCCCCCGGATTTCTGTGCGATCGGACTGTTAAAGCTGGCACTGGGAAACCTCCATTCTCGTACAATATATGCATTATGGAAAGCCATCAGTCTTACGATAAGGCCCTTTGCAATGGAAACTAAGCTGTAAGACTATTGAAAAGATTCATAGTTTCATGTAGAGAATGGCCAGATGTGACGACATGGATTAGAACGACGTCGTGAGGATCCAAAGATGCGATACCTACCACATAGAAAAGTATGGTTATTTATGAATTATCGTGCCACTGCGAATGTCGGTACATAGGTCGCACTTCACAAAGATTGCAGGATAGAATTAAACAACATGTATCCACATCCATAAGAACTAAGAGTGTGAAAGAAAATAATTTACCATGTCGATCCTGTAAAACAAAAGTTCTACCACCAAAATGTGAATCAGCGATTGGCCAGTAATTACCAGTGAACCCGACTTGTGCTGACAACTACACGGATAGCAGGTTTAAAATTATTGCAAATGGTCTGTCAACCTTTCATCTCTATATTTTGGAAGCCACCTTTATTAAAACACATAAACCTGTCCTTTGACGCCAAAAAAGAATTTCTATACAATCTACACATCCTTCAGTAGGTCTGTGACATTTCCTGACTGGCTTAATGACATGCCAATCAGTGATTGCCTTACCGGCCTACGTTGATCTGCCTCATTTTATAAGCTGTACTATTTCCTATAGATCATTTTCCAGACGGTTCTGCTATGATTAGTATCTGGCGAAAATCTTCAGCAGATATTTCCT